GCTCGGCACTTTCTTCCAGGCTTTGGTCGTAACCGTGCCTTCTGATAGCCCAATGTCAGGCTTTTGCTTTGATGTGTGGAGCGAGGCAGTTTTTGTTCAAAGGGATAACCTTTTCTGGGCACTTCTTTGAAATGATAATTCAGGAGCTTGGTGCAAGTGGAGCTGCAGCCGGCTCCCGGCAGACGGGGTCAATCAAAGTCAAATGGAGGAGCTGCTCACAGGTTCACCCGAGCAGTCGATGGCAGAGCCTGGCTGCAGCTGTCAGCCTTCCGCCGTCATAATCCCTGATAAAGACAAAGGGGGGGGGACGTCACTGTGAGGAAGATGTTCTAAACAGCAGAACTTGGCCCGGGTGGTTATGCTGTAATGGTCACAAAGGATCTGCCGGTCTTTGTATGTGTTTTTTTTTGTGTTTGCACAGCACTGACTAGCAGAGCATTTCCAAGAGGCAGCCTGTGTGTACCAGTGGGTCAGGGGGACGCAGGTGTGCGTAATTACATTCGTAATAGGGCCTGGAAATGGTCCACCTGCCTCAAAGTGAACCCTCTGTCCAATCCGGCGCTGCTGACAACAAAGCCGACTATCGCTCTCTGATTGTAGCTTTGATGATGCAGCTGGAAGGGCTGTGTTTTATGGGCGGAAATTTCTGGCTCAGGAATAATTTGCTGGAATTATTCAATCCATCTCAAACAATGACATGCACTATCAGGGCATAATCAAATAAACAACACTCATATGTCATGTCACAGTAAAATAAATCCCAAACAAAACACCGGCTATATGTATTTACTTTGTGTGTCTGGATGCGCAAGACATACAGTTCATCATGACCAAGCATTGTGATGGATTGGTGAGTTTCCCATCTTCCACAGCAGTCGGTGCATGCTGATGTTTACTCCCCGCAGCCTTGTTAATGAGCAAGTTAAGCAAATTAATCATTTATTTCAACCAGTGTACATTTGGTATATCAGTCTCTGTTGTCCATCTGGATGAAACCGTTCAGGTTGCTGAATAACCTCCCCTAGTGTGCCTCGTTCACTGCACACAGATCTCCCTTGGGTTAGGGCTCCAGCTGGAGCAGACATGCTAGGGCAACCTGTCCCTGTTATTGTTTGTGACAGAATCAAGAAGGAAATGCAAGTAGCGGAAGTGCGTGCACTTTTTTGCACGTCAAATTCTGCTGGCAGTAACCCCGATGTAATTATGGGCATGGGTGGCCAGCTATGACAGCTCATCTGTCAGCCAGCCAATGGGAGTCCAGGGCACCTGGCGAGCTCGCTGCCAGCACGGTGAGCAACAGATACACACAAATTAAAAATCACATGGAGTTTTTCATGTAAATGTGTGTAAAAGGCACTTTGATATTGTTTCGAGCTACTCATTGACACTGTGGCACATCCGTCAGCCGCAAACTGACAAAGCCGGCCACACCCAAATGTCTCTGCGTTGCATGTGCCATGCAAATTAGTTCAGAAGGCAAAGGTTGCACCGCCTGCGTTTTGATTTTAATTAGTCTCATTTTATATTCAGACACCAATTAAAACTAAGTGACTTTGATTTTGAATTGTTTTTTAAGCCAGTTGAAAAACGTGTTCTGAAGAGGGTTCAAATTAAATCTCCTGCATCGTAAAATACTCTAAATCAAAGCATTGTTTTTTTGACAGAAGTTTTTTGACAATCGTGTGTACATTGTAAAAGAAAGGAGAACAAAACAACTTTTCTGGGATTCATCAGCGATGAATTTTGGTTCATACTTAATCATTACTGGGATTTGTTTAATTTAATTGTCTGTCCAAACCATATAGTCCTTTGAACTCTTAGTTTTTACCCGATTGGTCTGGGTCTCAAACAGCGACAGGTCAAGCCAATTACACAGTCTCGCACCTTATTGTGCACTACCCATTTTTTTCGACCCTCCTTCCGACCAACCCTCCCACATGCAACTAGGAGAGCCAATCATATTGTGTTCCCCTTTGGCAAAGGCCCCAATCAGGGATGAGTAATGACTAGGCAGCCTTGCATGCGGTGATCCCAGCTTTCTAATTAGTCTTCCATTAACTTTTTCAACCTTGGCAGCTGCGGGGTGCACGCTCAGCAGACACACAACACACCTTGCAGCCTCACACCAAAATATTGAGCCGCTCAAAATAAAATTAAGAATTTAGTAACATTTTATACTCTGGAGAGCTCATTTAAATCATGCTCATGATAATGCCCCAATTAAATACATTGAATGTTTTTATTTTCAAGCTGTAATAACACTCAGATTGTCTCTTTTTGTTAGTTAGTGCTTCCAGTTTAGTGCTATCAGGGTTGTAAACAATTCAAGATGTTACGGAGCATCAGCCACGACCCTGGTGATCACATGGTTTTGCAGTAGTAGTATTTGGTGCCTGGAAGAACAATATATGAAAATAGCCTGAAATCATATCTGAGGACATTCCTAATTACTTCACCGTGTCTTTTGACTATGAAGGTATGCTGTCTTCCCCCTCCGGTGGTTGCAGTAATTACAAAAACACGTTTTTTTGTACCCGTCTGGCTGCAAGCAGCTCCTCACATCTACAAACATATTGTTGTATTATTTCATGAGGCTGATCACATAGTGGGAATTTACATTGTTACCTGAGATCAACACTTTGTGCTCAGTGTGATGTATTTCTGATCTGTGGAATAAAATAACTTTCCCAGGCCTTCTGCAGAATGTGGACATATTGTAACAGAAACTATACAAAGAGAATGACGGAGCGGAGCAGCAGGAGAGAGACAGAAGTCTACATGAAGTGAATACTAACATTTTCCGTTTGATTTTGTTTTGCCAAAGGTTGTTAACTCAGAGTAATATTTCTCCTTTATCACATCAAACACAACATAGGAGGAACGTAATCAACGTCAAAGGTTATGTGAGTTTGTGTATGTGTGTGTGTCATTTTGGTTTGTTTCAATACAAGCTATAACTTTATGATTCCTCCTGTTGCACAGTGGGCAGTCGGTTTTAAAATGCAGCTCCATAAAAGAGCAATGGGAACTCCTGGGGAGCTGCGGTCCCGTGGCCTTCCGGCCCCCAGTGGTATGCACTATCTTGGCGTATTATCACATTTTTCACAATCTGCTCGCAACTTCAAAGCGGACTTGAAGCTCTCTTTCATTTTTGTCGTGGTTGAGAGAGTGAATCTACATTTTATGAACATGCCGACCCCCCCTAGTAAAGTAAATGCGCTGCCATTCTGGATGCAGCTCCTTTCACTCCAATGCTCTATTCGGAAAACTATTTATAGACGTATGTCTGAATGTGCACCAGTAGGGTGCTTCCTTGAATCAGACCCTCCGTGTTGGGCAGGCTCAGGAAAGGGGCTAAAGCTGGTGAGCTCCCTTTATTCCCCCATAACATTACTTTCTTGCATGGATGAGTACGGGGGCCGGATAGCCACCACTACGGCTGTTTTGTAAAATTGCCATATTCAGTCAAGCGATTATGTGCTAGCGCGGTGTGTAATGCATCTCTGTGACTGTGACTGATGTTTGCACATCTAAGACTCCACTGGAAAAGAGGATGAAAGTGAAAGAGGTGACCTCTTTCCTCTTTCTCTGCGATCTTCCAAAAGCTCCGTGCTGGACTTATTTTAGATTCATTGTCACAGAATGGAAAGTATACGTGACCATTGAATAGTATAATAGAAAACAGTTATATTATGTTTACGTCTAATCTTGTTTGTTAACACCTGAAATCCCCAGGGACCACAATGCTTTTCAACTTCATCATCGTGCTGCATTTGGGGACAATAGATCCTTCTCATGACAAATACTTCAATAGTTTCCCTGCAGGTGAAAAAGAAAATGGTTATCAGATCTCCGCTGAGCCAACTAACGGAAGTAAAATAAATCAAATAGGCTGGAATTTAATTTGTCATTACAAACTTCAGTCAAAGAGCCAGTGAGCTTGTTATCAGTTTTGTTTCACTGTTTGTTCTGTTAATCAAACAGAAAGGTCCCTCTCTGCTTTCTAATCAAAGGTTGACTCTCGCCGCCAAAATATGAAGCCAACACTGTAACATCGTTTCAGCCGGCGATGCGACAGCTTTGGAATAATGCACCAATCATTCACATTTTACCAGGTCGGGTTAGCATTGGGAGAAAATACATAAAGCTCATTTGTAAGTTTGATGTCTCAGCAAGGACAATAAGGGAGAGGAGAAATGTCTGGCATTGATCATCAACACCCACTTCGCTGGTCCCATTATGTGAGAGACAGATTACACTCGTTATGAATTACATTTCTTCTCTGTAGCCACTGCATGTATTGTACACAGTGAACAGATTTATTTCTACATTGTTAAGGACCTGTCACCTCTGTGCTTGCAATGAATCATACAATAACATGAAATGCTTGTTACAGTTGCTGTGAGTGTTAATGTTGCCCAATTAACTGTTCAGTGAACAACTCACTGTGCCGCAACCGAATGGCTGGAAAACATAAAGATCTAAGGGGAGAAAAATGAAATGTTTGGCTGATGATAATATCCGATTTGTTCATATTTTTCAGGGGATTAATCAGACTTTGAAAAAAGTAAATGTACATAGATTTGACCGTCTTTAGTGTTTTTTTGATGTTGAAACACCAGAATGTGTAATCCTGTTTTCTAGTGTTTTAATTAAATGTCAATGTTTTTATGACATTTGTTTCAGCGTTTAATATAAAATGTACATATTCCTTAATTTAGCAGTAGAGTGAAAATACTATTCATATATAACATTTATTGATGATTTTTCATTTGAATAAAAGCAATAGCTGTAAACTTTTAATGCCACAGTTTTATGTTGTTGCCATGTATCTCATACTTGGTCGTGTTGCTCTGATCAAACAACGCACCTTTTCAATAATGGTTGTACTGATCTCCTAAAGGTGTGGGTTATAGACCCACACCTTTTCCTGCTATGCAATTCACCAGAGAGACGCTTTGCAGTAACACTTGTCTTCTATCTCCTCTCTTCCTGTACAGATCAAACGGGTCATTTTCTGTGTCTTTCTCGAGACTGACTTTGCCATCTACAAGAAGAAAATGTCTGATATCTTTCCAGGTATGTGTCTTAAATCTCAATTGTCTGCACTGGCACATCATGACTTTCCCTCCGTTAGCATTTAACTTATTTATAGCTGGATGATTTATATGTTGTGTTTTTCCCATGGTCTCCTTTAAGATATTTATGTAGTATGTAATGTCACCATGTACCTAATTGGTGTTTGAAATAGACCCATGGAGCTTTGCTACCTTATTGATCATAGAAAGGCTACAGAAATGTTGTTCCTGCAAGCAGAGGTATAAGGACCTGTCAGAATTGATTGACAAAGCACAACGCACCTGCACGGCCATTTGGGAGATTAACAGTGAGGATTTATGCTCTCAACCGGTAATACAAGCGCCAGGATCTCTAAGCATAGCCTGAATAGGATTAGAATAGTTAGATTTCTTGTCAGACAACCAGCAAACTGATATTTTACATAATTATTGATATTCTGGTGAGACTTTAATGTCAGATTTGATTAACTGCAATATTGGTCCTCAGCAGTCACTGTCTCCTGCAAGAGCTGACAATTCAGAGATGCATAGCAACCACTGATCGTCCATGGTTACTGCTCCTTGATTCTATGTGTGAAATGAACAAACATCCATTATCTTCCACTCCCACTCTAGTTTCTGCCTCTACCTCTCAATTCCCTCACCCTGTTTATCATTTTCTTTTTTGGAGGGGGGGGCAGGAGCAGTCACCAGCTCTGATGGGGGCTCCACAGAGGGTTGCATTTAATAGCTGGGGAGCTGAGAGATGCTGGCTGGCTTCACCAGCCTTGCATTTCATCCCATTTACCTCTTTTTTTCCCTCCCCGCTTCCCCAGCTGAATACCTGCTCTCGGGCCTGCATCTCGCTGCTCCCAGATGGAGACTATTTTGTTCTCCCCATCATCTGTCCCGCTTCTGGCCTAGGCTCCATACCCCAAACGATTACATTTAGGGGAGAGACTTAATTATTACGCCTGCCCCTGTGCACCCAGCCGCATTCTCACTCTGGGACGAGGACCTGGAGCTGTGGCTCTCCAGTTATCACTCTGTAAAAGTGCTGTTATTTGATAAATGCCCTGTATCTATCCATGACTAGTTAAAGTCACAAAGGAACAGGCCCTGCCACAAAGGGAATTCAGAAAAGTTTATAGAAGATAACTTTTTAATCAATATTGTTAACCATCATGCGTTGAGTTTCTAATGAGGGAGGCAGAGGTCAGTCTTAGGTTATATTCTGGGTTTTATTGCACGCACCACTAATGCCTCATCAAAGCATCGCTGCTGTCACCTGCTTTTTGACCTCTGGAGTCAAAACCACCTTTATTACTGCTGTAGGTGTGGGCAGGAGAAAATATTAATTCTACTATGTATCAAGTCCATAGCTTATTAAGTTAAATACCCACTCAAAGTCATTGTCTGGGGTGGGGAACAACACTCGCCCAAAGCTTTTACAATCCACTCCCTATGAAAACAGAAGCTATTCTAAGATGTTCCATGAGGAATATGCAAAGATGACACAGTTGCTGCTGTGATTATAGACAAGACACTCATGTAAGGGAGTTAATTCTCTACCCAGCCAGGCTGCATCACGTTGATGGGTTCAAACAGTGTTTATCGGTGCGCGTTAAAGAATGAAATGCTGATTGGTTTGATTGCGCCATGTAGGGAAAGCATAACCAAGTAGTTTGAAAATACTTTATTTATCTTATTTATCTTGTGCAGGGCGGCAGTAGTGAATAAGATGCTGTGAATCTGCTCTGCATGTGTGCCTGTATGCTCTCTGAACATCCTATCATCCTCCCTGCTAGAGACAGACACTCAGGTAGATCTTACAACCGGGCGGAATGCATCTCACAGAGGCCCCAGACCATTGTGTCTCCTGCTCTCGCTTTTAATAATCCTCTGTCGCGTCGACGCCCCCCCACATTCTATTCCTCGCTCGCTCTCTCTCTCTCTGCCTCTCTCCCTCACTTATTCTCACTTACACCATTGCCACTTGCCCATTACCTTATCCCTCCACTTTCTATCATTTTTTTTATCAAGAGGGAGCTTCTCCACGACCGCCTCAATCAGCAAGTTGCTGTTGAGGCTGTTGTGAACAGTGGCAGATGTTTTTTTCTGTAATTTGCATGCGTGCTCGTGTGCAACTCAGGATCCTCCCTGAGACATCAGTTTCAAGTGCGTCTACGGCTGAATGTTGGCGCAATGGAATTTTTTATTGAAGTCTTACTGCTCTCATTTTTCATTGTATGGCTGCTCTCCTCATATTCAAGCAATCTGTCAAGTGACAATGATTGGAGCAGGAACGTGTAAGCAGGACATTTGCATACAGGAAATTGGAAATATTACAATGTGCATTCCCACACGCTCTCACTATGAGAGAGCCAAAATATTGTTACATCGGCAGAAGGAGGAAACTGAAAAATGGGCTGTGCTGACAAGAATTCTCATCCACTCTTGCACACAAGAACGTCAGCCACAAAAGAACGATACATATAAAACAGGACTTGCACCTAGTCAAGTGTTGCATATTTGAACAAGGACATCACAGAGTAAAACATTTAAACAAATGACTCTTGATTTTCTTTGTTCAAACTGAGTCACCCGGAGAGCAGCTGTTTGATGAGTAATGATGGTTCTCACGGAGACAAAAGTCTTTTTAATGAATTCCAGCTCAAGGAGTACTTGAGTTGTTTAGAGTTAAAGCCTCTTAAACAGAAAAACTGAAATATGCAAATACACAAATAGGCTAACACACACACGGCAACTGCATGTAAAGCTCTTGCCTCTGTGGTGCTATTCACCTTTCATTACCCAACTCGCCTACTGAGCTCGTAACCAGTGATATAATGACCTATTTATTACTTTGAAAAGCTATAAACTTAACACATCTCACAGGTGCCATGACAGTCTCGCTAGCTGTGAAAGAGGACCATCAGCGTTTGCATAATTTGAATTAATACGTGCACCTAGAAACTGCAGCCACACAATCTGTAGGAATTACCATGGTTGTGTATTTAGAAAAAATATAACCATTATTCGACAGAGCCTAATCAATGCAATTAATCATACGACATGATTCTATTAGGTATTCAGATTGGTTCATAGATTGTGATTTACCACATGCTTGCCTTGGCACGTATTATTTGCGAGCATCGAAGCAGTCAGGCAGCTGTGGTTGCAGAGAGTAAAAGCATGTTGAAATTGATTCTGGGTACAATCCCTCACTAATATGATCCGGGTGGCTGCCCACAAGCTGGGCTCCATCTCTTCTTCTTCTCAATCAGCCACAGTGCTGACAACATTAACACAGCCCACAGATCAGGAAGGAGCTGCTGCCTTCTCCACCAAATGTTTCACTGACTCTTCAATTGACATTTGTTTACATGGCTCTTAATAAACTCCATACTTCCAATCCCACTCCGAGACATAAACCCCCAAATGGCCGTAATGGTAGCACCTCCCTCCCGCCCCACCCCATCGCTCCGGATGGAGTGAAGCTGATATGCACATGTTTTTATCACACGCATGTGATGTGTGGAAAGAAGAGATGAAGAGCTCCAGGATCCCTGTGAGGGGTGAAAATTAAAGCTGTGTTTCAGGAGGCCTTCCCTCTTGGCAGGAAACAAAACATGGTGCGTTAGCAACGTGATTGTCAAAGCAGCACAGGGGCTCAGAGTGTCGGTTCAGCTCTTTGAATTGAGGATTCACTTTTCCTCATCCTAGTTAAAAACCATCACATGTTTTTGCTTGAATAAATATCCTGCAAGGTTCATATCAATGTGGTGAGTATTGGCCAGACAGCATATTTCATACGGGTTTAGAACTTAACCCTACAAACATGTGAGTGAAAAATATAACTTACAGGAATAGCTGGCACACATAGACTGTTTTTAGGGGAAAAGCTAGTATAAAATAAAATAAAAAAATGTAAACGTATCAGCTAAAGCTAAATTACACAATTTAAGATGTGCGCTGTTTAATCTTTACATAAACTGTGCAGTGACTTCCTGAAATGTTGTCATTGTCCTGAAGTTGCCAGGCAACCAGAGGACAAGCCGGGCCATACAACATGTTAATTAGTTAGCGGTTCAGCTGATATTCCTCCTCTCGTCAAAGAATTGCACAGCTGATCGTCCCCTTAATTATACAATAGCTTTGGTGGATCCAAAGATCAGGCAGGGCACCTCGTAGGAATCCCATGTGGGACCACCGTTATAGAAATGCTTCCATATATTGTTTTTCTTGACCAAGTCACATTCATTTCTCGGGCTGACAGCAGTGTTGAGCAGTGGTAATAATGTTATACAATGTGGCAGAAGCTATAACACTCCGTTTCCCTCCTTGCACTATTGTTATATTGTTAAATCAGCGGGCCGTCCTTTGTTTCCCCAAGCAGGGTTAGATTAATGCACTGTACCCTTTTATTCAGTGTTATACAAAGGAAAAGTCTGTCGCTGGATCCACTGGGAGCTCTGATGCTTCCACTTCCACAGAGCAGATGACAACAACCTTTCATCACAGCTAATGCTTGCTTTTGCTTGTTAACCACAGTGCAATCATTGCTCAGACTCAAACACACTCACTCGTGCATATTAAAATACAAACACACGCGTGCTATATATATAGAAGGTGGCCCGACTCAAAGGAGTGTTGAGGCATGTTGAGATCTGTGTGAGGTTGTGGGATAGGAGCCAGGATCCGTGAGCAGGCATCCACAGCTCCCCCCTCTCTCTTCCCGGGTCTCATCTCCGACTGTGAAACCCAACTCATCCCCCAGGAAACACCCTTAGTTCACTCTGTCTGCCGCACACAATAGGCGTGTGAAGAAAAGGAGAGTAAATCAAAAGTGGATTTTTACATTTTTATTTTAGGGTCTGCCCTGACCTGCTGTCAATTGGAAAACGGGAGTATTTTCGTATTAGTTATGCTGAGCCTAGTCCAGGTTTATTGGAAAAGGAATGTCTCATGAATGGACCCCCCCCCCCCCCCCCTCCCGCCAAACACACAGCCACATACACAGTTGGTGTAGAACTCTAGATCCGAGGCCGTGTGAATACACGAATATTATAATCAGGGCGACAAGTAGTGATGACTCGCTGTGTCTTACATTATAAAATAGCCTGGTTTGACATGTTGTGTTCTTCCCCCTCCACCACACAATGACATGGAGGTTACAGGGAAGCAGCTGAAGGGAAGTGAGTGACAGAATATTTCATGGTTGCCTTTTCACCTGAACACCTCCATTAAAGCGCACAGAGGCTGAGTGAGTGGCGTAGCCTCAACTGGTGACAGCGATTTGCTGGGTTTTATGCAGCAGATAAAATTGAATGTTTATTCCATTTGGTGACAAGTTGAAACCTGAGCCTGACACGTTGCAGTTAAAAATACTTCCATGTCAGGTGCATTACATTACTAGAGCTTATATCCACAGCTAATTCCCACACCCACACAAACAACATTCTGTTCATCCGGCTTACGGGCACAATGCCTTCAGACCACCTTGAGCGAGCGACAAAAAAAACAGCAGAGCGACAACAACGCGGCGCAGCGTGCGGCAGGCGATGCACAAACACAACTGTCAGCGCATAATGCTCTTATCACCGCGCCATCTTGGCACACGGCCTGAGACTCCCAGATACTGCTTATCGGGATAAACTATTGACAATCGGCCGTGCAATGATGTCCTGAATAAGAGATGGCTTGAACAGAAAGTGAAAGGATGCATATTGTTTCGCAGAAATACAACAGATCCAATTGAGTTCAGAAGCAGTTACTTATTTTTCTCATTTTTTATTAAATATTAGAAATAAACTGCTTCCCCATGCAGGTACAGCAGGTCTGAGGGCTAGTTGTCTTCCATGAGTATGGGGGGACTCATTGTGTCATCATGCCAGCCCTGCCCCAGTCTAGTTTGGACCTGTTTGATGGGCCTCTGTGACTGTGCCAAGAACCGGCCTTTCATTGTGCTCCATCAGCCCGGGCTTGAATCGGTGCTGGCTGGAGCCTATTCAAAGGTTCGAATAACTGCCGTTCTCACAGGGAATGGTGCTTTTGTCTCACACTGCGTTCTGGAGTTAGTTTCAAAGCCTCACATTCCTTCTACACCTTCCCACAGGAGATTTTTTTTTTTTCTCTCTCTCTGGCAGGTACAAAACAAAACAGCGTGAAAGGCTGTGAGTTCCCCCACAGGGTCTTGTAGCGTGGTCAGCCGAAGCACGATGGCCAAGTTACAGTAATCAGCGCTGTGCCTTTGGCTTGCCAAAAGCATTTAACTTAACACCATCTTCTCGTCTAACAGTTCCAATTGACAAGATGTCACGCCCTTCGCATCCTGATGGTGCGTGTGGATAACGACGTGTCACTCCCCCGTCTGTAAATTACCATTTATTCTTCTATATTTATAGATGACACACCCCCATCCACCAAATCCACAACCAAGGAAGAGAGGGACGAGAGTAACAGGGGTAAGCTAATGTGTGTGTGTGTGTGTCATTGGATGCATGTGAGTTTGTTTTGTTTTCTAATTTAGATAACGATGACTTTTGGACTTGCCGAGTGTCACAACGAGGGAAACATTGATATAATAATCATTTGTTTTGTGTTTATGAAGTAATGGAGTGTGTTCTTTGTCGGTTATCTCTGCTGCCAAGTTCCTCTTTGGGGAAATGAATACAAGATGAGAGCTTGGTCTTTTTTTAAAGAATGTTTTCTTAGAGGCAAACTTATTTAAGAAGCCATTATCTGGCTCTTCTGCCGTTTCAGCCATTTTAGCCCCTTTGGATGTGTAATATTGAAACAGTTATAGGCTTCTCCGATACGATGGACCAAAGATAATTAGATTCTTACACTGGAGGGTGTTAGTAGGCAATTAAAATCGCACACCATCCATTTGTCTTCAAGCCTTAAGGTTGAAGGGAATTTTTGAAGATAGCAGTTATGGTTGTTTTCTTTGGGGAATCGGGTTCTGGGCTGATAGTGAGGAGCTGGACTAGATAGCGCCGACACTTCAAGGGCGTCAATACAGTCTGTGTTGTTAAACGATTCACAATAACTCATTTCTCTCCGCCTATTCAGCAAACCTTTCCATAATCCACAGCAGTAATTCAATACGATTCACAAATTCAATCAACAGCATTAGGAGGGCATAAGTATTTTGTAATAATCTTTATAAATCCTAATTTATCAGGCCCGGCAGCTTAATAGTAACTAATCCATTCACAAAAGGCCTTGGCACAGCTTTCTAACATGGGAACACTCAGTCCTTGACACAACCTCTCTCACAGGAAAGGAATGAAAGGATATTGTACTGCCTGCGCTGAAAAGGTTAGGTCTGGTTCGATGTAGCACATAGCAAGGATTAATCATAGAAAACACTCAGATGTCAGGATAGCACAGAGCAAAGGAAATGCGAGCTGCAAAAACAGACTTGCAGCTATGAGACAGACTTTAAAAGATGCTTTCGAGTCTTTTGTTCTCCTTTTTAAAAGAAAAACAGACTGTATTTCAGCATATTGTTTATATAGCCAGAAAAGCAGGTCACTTATTTGGTAGAGTCGATACCTGGACACTTTTTACAATAAATTACAATGAGGCGCACAGTTGGTGCAGTGTGTCAATATGGTTGAGTGCGATCCATCACTCCATCTATTACGATCCTCAGTGGATTCACTCTTCTCAGTCCACGGGTCATACATGAGTGCTTTTAAGCCAGAGAGAGTATTCAGGCTTTCTTTTGTTCCATAATAAATACACAGGTTCGTGGACTGAAGGTAATTACAGGGCTGCCCGGTCTGCTACCACTGTAACTTTTCATGAGCAAAGTGCTTCTTAAGCCTTAGTAGACTGAGGGAACCACATATTTATACAAAATCAAAACACATTATTTTTTATATCACTCTGGATTATGTTTATGTTATATTTGTTGTTATTGTAAGTGTTGATTTACTATTCATTGCTTTTGTCACATTGTTTTTTTGTGATCTTTCCTAAGCACTCATGTCTCATGAATCTCTGATGAATCCCCTACTTACATGGGACATTTCAAATTTAAAGTGCTCCATAAATGATTTTAAATTATATTTACTTTACGACCAACGCAACAGGGGAGTTGTTCATAAACATTATTCCAACTCTTAAAAGCAGCCGACACGCGATCCCTCGCCATTTACAAATAAGCCCTGAGGTGTATTTACAAAAAAAAAGGATTACCAGTGTGTGGATGAAGAGCTACGTGGTGATGTAATCCACATGAAACATAGGCACAGCATGCAGATGCTGCGAGCTATAGAAATAAGCAAAAGTCATCGTGAAGAAGGGCGGCTGAGGCAGAGAGGGGAATGCTGGTTGTCCAGGGCGGCGTCCACCCTCTTTAGGGCACACCTGAGCTGGCAAGCAGCCCGACGGTGTCTATTATTTGTTATCAGATCGGTATTAGTGAGATTAGTGGATGTCACGGGGCAAAGTAAAATGTGAACGTTGAGCCAGAAATCAATGGCTGGCATGGTCCGTTTGCCTGGCATGAGTGAGCCTTCTGGGAAATACCGAAGGAAGAGAGGGGGGGAGATGGTGAGAGATGGTGCAGCGTGTGGATGGACATGCAGATTAATAACACCGCGTGTGGACAGACGGTGAGCCTTTCGACGGGACGCCGTCTTTTACACCGTGGCACCCTGTGGAGCTCACAAACACACACACACACACTGTACGTGTAAGAGGTGTTTGAATAATAGCCGTTGGTCATCTCCGAGCCCTTTTTCCTCTACAAATGTCTTGTGAATTATTTTTTTAAATCTTTTTTGCCCTTTACTCCAGCTGGCAATGGGAGACAAGGTTGCGTGGATGAAATAGTGCATAGGGAGTATAAATGTGTGTCCGCATTTTCTAATTCTTTCAGAAAAGGAGATGCAGTACTGCATTTACCTCCTTGGAAGTGTTGCCTGTGGTTGAAAATAATCGTCATGCAAGTAGGACACACAAGGAAGGTTGCATATCAGCACATAAATAGTTAATGCTGTTCTGATACTGTACTTCTGAATCTAATGTTGACATAAATAAATAATTTACTGTGTGTGACATTTTATTGAAGAAAGCACTAAGGCGCAGTCGGCCGTTCGGCAACAAGGGCAGGAGAGTGCCTTAAATTACCTTTTAGCCGCCATATTTCTGAAGGTGTAATTCATGGGAGTATTGGCGCTGGCATTCTTGGTTGTGGACTTTGGCAGGAGCCCTTTTCTGTCAAGTACACTGTAAGGACCATCGCTGAGGAGAGGGCAGGAAAGCTGTGACAATGCTGCCACCTGCTGTTAGGAGCACCTGATGAGCGCCCCGGTGCAGGGACTCATCGGGAGTTTGAGAGAGACGGCCTTCTAATTGAACTTATCTGGGAGCCATTATCAATTGCATCTGCCCTACCTACACCGTCTTTGCTGTCTCTTCCGTGTGTGTGTATGTGTATGTGTGTGTGTGTGTGTGTGTGTGTGTGTGTGTTGTGTGGTTTGTCCGCAATCTGTCCCTGAGCTTCCTTTATCACAAAGTGAATACTGATCCATTCAATACACCAAACACAAATGATCTAGTAACAGGGAGGAAATTACATTCAGCCTTTTGTCGTATCTGATTCATTGTTTCTTGGGATCACTTTAGCCGGATACGGAACAGCCATGCCCGATTTATAAGTGCGGAAGAAGGTCTAGGATGACCTCATGGCCAGAGAGGAATTCATTTTAACCTGCTTTTCCCAGTGAAGTATTCTTTTCAGACCTCTGTCTGTGGCTCCATCTTAAAATGCCAGTCATGATTAATAGAAAGGATTGCCGTCTACTGTGTGCCACCAGCATTCTGTGTGATGGACAGAGGCACTTGAGTAAAACATGCAGCACTGGTAGAACTGGCCTTTCCCCCATTTAATAGAGGCTGGCATTTTTATTGTTCTGAGTGGAGGGCAAAATTGCATAGATATGAAAAAATGGTTTCTCTCTGCAGCTTGTTAAAAAAGCAATTATAGAAGCTGCACAATAGCCATTGTAGAGCATGTTCCCTTATTGGTGTCATGGCTTTCATTTACTCAATTTGTCCCAAATGTCATTGGTGTATGTGTGTGTTTGGGTGTGTATAAGAATGTGTGAGCGCAAGACGAGGGGTGAGACGGGTGTAGGGCAACAGATATAATGCAGGGATTACTGATTTTCACTAGCAAAACCTTTCTTTCGTGCGTACGTTGGAGCCATTTTGCCATGGTCTGGTAGGTAGATACACAACTTGAGGTTGACTCGAGCGGGGGATGTATGTATGCAGCCCGCAGTATGTGTCACTCCCCATCCAAGTGTAGAGAGAAGAAAGCTCTCCTTACAAACAACGTTGTTTAATGAACTTCACTAAAGTTGAGCGATGCACTGTGAGTGAGTGAGTGGAGAGCACGATTCCTGCCCCCTTATTTGGGATTATGGGAGCACCCCAACATTGCTCCTGTAGCTGTGACAGTGTGTGGATGGTGTGCATGTTGGGTACCAACGGGAAGGTGCCACTGTGTACGGTAGCTTCTGTCATCAACGCTTCGAGTGGTCGGAAGACTAGAAAAGGGTCCAGTCCATTTTCAATTCGCCATTTTTGGTATGATGTTATGCGACATAACATATTCTTGTATCATGTTTCAGTATTCAGTAGTAAAGGGATACTATATTTCAGTCTTCAATTTAAATTTTTCCAATATTTAAAAAGAAAAAACTTTAAAACTTGAATACAATAGTTAATTGTTAAAAGAAAATGCAGCAGGAGCCAAACTGATGATGAATATTATATATTATATGACTCGTAACTTCTAAATTCGGACAACTTGCATTTTTCCAATGCGTGCTCGTCTTGGCTGCTGATTCCTTTTCCTCTCTTTTCAGGTAAAGAGGAAATGGGGGACGAGAACGAGGGTGACGATGGTAATGTAGCTCTACGCCCCATTAACACATGTTCTGAGCCCCTCGGCCCTACCGGTGCTTCTCGATGTCATTTGTCATCAAAAATTGAATTTTCTACTCGCTCCAGTTCAGTCCTTCCATCCCGTGTGCCACCACTCCAACTTCTCTCATCACAGAAGCTTGGAACAAAGAAATCCCTCAATTATGCATGGCTTTAGAAGTAAAATCCATTTTGCACTTAATTTATGCATGTCTTTGTGGTTCTGTTGCTCCCATACCGCAGTACAAAGAAAAAGGACCACTCAGAGAATTAAAAAAATAAATGTGGTTTGAGGTGATATTGAAGGCCAAGTCGATTTAACTGCCGCCGCCGCCAGCACTGAACTCAAATGTTTCCCGTTCTAGCTGCTGCGGGAGGTGAAGACGTGGACATGGCGAGTCAAAACCCAGGTACGGTACAGTCACAAGCAAAGGCTCCAGATGACACTGCACACGACTCTTGACACAACACAAGTATCTAACTCCTTTCTTTGGGATGACATGGCAATCGTGTACGAGCTGACTGACTTTCAGCTCATTGTTTGTACTTTAGCTGAGGGTTTGATTAAATATTTAACCTGATCAGTCCCGTTTGCAGCAGAGGAATAACTGCCGTTCAGCTCAGAGGACACTATTAACCATCCTCTGAGATGTTGGTGTATAATTAAGATTTAGCATTTGCATATTGGCAGTTGGCAGCGCCTCTCCTCTCTTTGGTTTTTGTTTGATTCAAATCCCATCGCATTGACTAACATTTGACAGATAGAGCTTTTCTCAACGCATTCTGTAGACATTCGGTGAGAAAGTTACAGCAAACGCAGCCCTTGGATGCTGTTTCAAATCCGCTGTATGTAATCCCTTTTTTTGCAAGACACAAACAGAGAGGAAGGGACCAGGGCAAAGATATCCAGTTTTAAACAACAGCAGAGTAATTTAGCCAAAAACCTAGCAGTGGAATCATTCCTGTGCGTGTGCGTGTGCGTGTGCGTGTGTGTGTGTGTGTGTGTGTGTGTGTAATGTGGTCTTGGTTACTTTGTAAAATGTATCCTTTGCACACAGACCTTTATTACCATATTCATTTACGTTAAGTGCTTTGCTCCTTCACATTTGGTTTTGTAGTAGTCCTTTCCATGTAAATGTTGTCCTTTATCTCTTATTAATACTGTGCAATTTCTATTTATCATAACTTTCATTTTACAGATAATTTCATTAAGAGACAGAGTCTCATTCTCAAGAGAGACCTGGAGACACAGCTGCAATACAACTCACAGTGGACATGTACACAGAGACAAAAATACAACACAAATCACAAGTTACATGAACTGTCTAGTATGCATAACAAATATGTAGTTCAAAACTAATATAGAGATACAAAAAATACTTCTTAAAAGTATTTTAAAATCACATAGTTTAACAATTGGACATTAGAAACCACACCCTAGTAAACCCGTACAGACTCACCTATAGCACGAACCATCACATACTTATTAGTTGGTTGTCCAAACAATTTACATTCAAAGTAGAAGCGCATAGCGAGCTCCTCCCTTTCATAGCCTGCGTGTGCTCTTCAGACTGGAATCTGGCAACATCCCAGTATGAAAATGTTTCTAAGATTTCCATCCGCAGTTCTGACGCACGGGCTTGTTTTCTGCCATGTGTATACAAGTAAAGGCTTTTATTCTCTTTGCCGGAATTAGTCCTTTAATATGTATCTCAATGTTTGTGCGCCTCCAGATGAAAATTCTGGAAACGAGGAACCAAGTCAAGAAAAGGATGAAGATGAAAACGAACAAGAGCAAAATGAAGACATTGGAATTGGCAACAATGAAGAGAAAGATGAAGCCAAAGGCATCGACAGCAAAAAAGATGAAGTCACAGGTATGGAATAAGTCAATGCATGAAACTGTGATGGCCGCAATAATAATATTGCCAAATGGAAACATACTGATTACACCATTTGGAGATCGGACACTACAAATGCACGTGTTTATATTGCTGATGATGTTTGATTCCAAGAAAATTTAAAAAAAAGAATGAGCACAACCAAGTGGGGAGAAAATGGTTCTATTTGCGTCCAGTATCGCACATTAGATCTAAAATATAAAAATAAAATAATATAAGCGAAGCCTCACACTAACCACACAGTGACCAATACGCACCTGAGGACATGTCACGCCAACCTCCATTTTTGCAGACACATTGGTGCGATCTCCTTCAACATCACTGACTTGTGAGCAAACATGAGAGCTTTGTTTCTTTTTCCAGCAGAGGAAGAGCAGCCCGCGGTGAAGGCGGACCATGACGATACAGCAAAGTTCACTGTGGAGATGGAAGGTAAGATCTGATTTGCCTGGATTGGATTTGGTATGATTGGATTTGACCCGATGGAGAGTCTGACTGACTGCCTTTCCATCAATGTGATTTTACAGTCCAATTTATTTGTATTTTTATACTTGACTATTGACTTAGCACCGTCAGCGTTGTTTTTGTTTTGTGCGGTTTGTCACGCTATTTTTCCCCTTAAATCACGCTCCGCCGGTCTCGTCTCCACCGCACATCTCATCACTTTGTATGAAAAGTATTGGCATTGCAGGGGGCCTTGTGGTATGACACATTTGTGGAAGCCACAAATCGATTTGCTGAGATCAGTTAATTCAAAAAGATATTTAAATCATACCTCAACAAGAGTGACTATCACAGCTGGAAGTATTTCTCTCTCATTGGAAGATTTAGCCTGTCAATGTTCTTCTTGTGTCATCGCTAAAAAATCTTTAGGAAATAGTTTTGCATGTATCCAATGTGTAGACCAGCCTCTGCATCTGTGCTGTAGACCTCAATTGTTCAACATTAAAAACCAACCAGCCAATCTTGTGAGTGACCAGCTCCTTCACGGTGTAGTTTATTCACAGTGAAGTCCACGTACACCAACATGCTGTGTAATATTCACTAGACCTCCTAATATGTGTTAATCAACACATCAGAATAAATAGTCCTTAAAAAATACACTAAATACTCATGTTTGAGGAACAATTGTTTCAAAGTTAAGTGCACAGTTTTTGGTGTACAGCTTTATTCATCTGTCACTGTTTTAGCCAAATGGCTTTATTCAGTCATTCCAACACATTCTCACCCCAATGCACCAAATACAGCCGCTTATGACACTCCACATGCCCCTAAAGCGTGCATTTTGGACATGGCAGGGGTGCAGATCAAGTCACACTTATTATGTGCAATCTTTTCTAAATTAACTTCACTGAGACAAGTGACTGTTGTGACATTTGTCAAAGTCTAAATCAGTTTTGCATCAGACAGGAGCAGGTGTTTCGTGGATGATCAGCTTACGTTAGTTCAAGTGCAGTGAAAACATTCTAACCACTGCAGTTGAGCTGCACAGGGCCAGCCGATCAAACTCCTTTTAACTCTCATTTTTGTTAGTTGGTTGACCACATGGGATCATTGATCTTTATTTATCCCCATCCTTCTCTGGCTCACATTGTCAATGATAAAGCTATTGTCTGGAGAAGTTGAGATTGAAATTGTCGAGCCCCGAGCCGCCATTCTCCCACCACTGCACCAACACAAAGGTCTGTCACTCCCTCACCTCCGATTCACTTTCCCTTTGACAGACATTCAATTCATTTGGGTTGAAAGTGAACGTTCCAGATAGATCTATCTGAGATAGCCGCCTCCATCCTCTCTGAAAAGCCATTGGAATACGTCCCGCAAACACTACAGGCTTTCCATCACCGGAAAGCTTCACTTTAGCCTGTCGATTGTGTCCTGGCCGAGGCCGCCCGTGTCCGTCACTGTCTAAGGACGCCGAGGGCCGTGTGCTGTGTGGTGGCACCGTCGAGCGGTAAACAGCGGGGCCGTTCTTGATTGCAGGCAGATTGCATTTTGTGCGGAGGAGCGGGGGCAGAGTGCAGACTCAAAATGTCTCGCAGCCCGGCCTAGCCACGCGTAACCAGCTATTCAAAGGAGAAGACCAAATGATTCCCGAGCCAATACCCTTTATTAAAAATAATAACTGTAATCAGGCTGCCTGCTCATGGCCAAGGAGGTTAAATCTGCTTCACTGAAAGGAGTAATAAAATGCCTCATAATGGTGGGAGGAATGACTAATGAATCAAACAATTTGAGGACAGCTGAATATTAGGTTGCTTCACACATACACGTAACCATGAGTCATGAGTGCCTCTTATTCTCAACTGTCTTATCTTATGTGTTTTTTTGCAATAAGTATTGCGAGCACAAATAACTCATTCCCTTTGGCCTGTCTGGTGTCGGGTTTAGATTGGAGCTTAACTTGATTGCAGGCAACGTAGAAAAACTGTTAAAGGAATGCTTTACCCACAAAAGACCAATTAAATTACTCAGCCTGGGCTATGTGGAATTCTTGAAAATTGTTTTATTTTTTTGCAATGCCTCAAAGGTGAATTGAAAACTTAAAAAGTATTAAACAACAACAAGACCACAGACTTACCAGGCTCACAAAATGCTTTGAATAGAGTTTTAGTGAAGATGGGAAGCAGTGAGCATGCGACGGGATAAACAAGTGTTTATCGTTCATAGTTAATAAACTGAAGTTATTAACATAGAAATGGTCATTTTTATGGGTGAGGTAATTGTTTAAGCGTTGTACGTTGCTGAAGTCCATAGTGTGAGCCAATCAAATGGACAAATGTAAGATATGAGGATGGAATTCATTACTTCTTTAGATGGATGCCTCGTTGATCCTATAGATTGGTAAGCGCTTTCTAATATGCTGTTTTTCAGGTCATTGAGTCATAATATATATATAATATTACTGTAGCCCAAATCAGACCTACACTGAACATGTGACTGTGGATTTATTTGATATCAAAATCACCAGCTTCATACTTAATACTTCGTTCATTTGACCTTTCCTCGCAGTTTACCGGTGGAGCTTCCTTGTTGGACTCGTTCACACTCTACATGTCAGTGATCCAAGTTGAAGGATGTGTTATAGTTGTCAAAGACAATCTTTTATGTCCACACATTTGTATCTGCATGCTCCCAGTCATACGTGCTCAGTATGGCACGTACGGAAGTGTTTATCACAGCTAAGCATCTCAGTCCCAAATCTGAAATACTAAATAGTATAAAGCGTTGTGTTGGATTCATTTTCACTCCTGTCATCATTAATCATTGTTAATGTAGGAGTCTATTCTTTCCACACATGTTCCCCTGTATTAGATAAAGATGTAGGATACGGCACAGGTCATTTGCTAATGTCTTAACTGTTCATACTTCCAAATTACGCCATCTGTCGTTTACATTGCACGTCTTTTTATATGAATGTGCAGTTGCCTTTAAGAATTTAGCCTGGCTGTTCTCTCCCCCTGCAGACTATACAGTTTAATGCAATAATATAAGCATAATATAACCACAAACCATGAGATCCAAACAAATGATTTGATTCTGGTGGTTCTGGTTCTCTATAAAATCTGAGGAGTGGAGTTATGAGGAAGCAGGCAGAGCAGAGATTTTGTGTTTTTAATCAGGCTGAATTATAGTGCATTTTAGATATCTCCCTGCACAGGCAATAAGAGTGTCAGTCTGATATCCAAGATTCTATAAAGGCTCCCCAAATCGAATCAGAATACAGGCAGCCTTTATTTATGAATATTCATAACACACGTTGCAATGGAAACGGTGGCTGCATTGATGTTGTATTTTATATATCTATCCAGCAGGCCTTGTTGTGGTGACTTGTGGGAGTGGGCATCCGCTTTAGTTAGCTCATGAAACATCCATAAATTAAAATAAGACTCTCCGTCTCTGCCTAAAGCTAGGAATAAATAAATCTGAGTTGTGAACAGAAATTGTTTTTCCCTTCATGCATGTGTGATTCTCGTGCAGGAGTCGATAGCGATTGTCTCGCCTCCAACGGTAAGATTTAATGGCCGTGGAGATTTAATGTCACAAGTACACAGCACCTCATCCTTCTTTCTAATCAAAATTTGAATTTGAGATTCTCTTTACTGCATGCCTGAACACGGGGCACAGGCAACCTCGCAGTCGGAGCCTGAATGGTCCGCCTATTTTTCAGCCTTTTGATAAAGGTGGCGCCTGCTAGAAAGCGGCTCCTTGGCCGTGGAAGGACGCTGCAGAGATCACTGTAGAGGGACGGTCCCTTTCAAACCGCCTGCTGGGTGCAGACCAGAAGGGCCAGTATGTGGACAAACCGTAATGGCAAACTAAAGCCAGACAGGAGGGAACCTGCCGGGGAGAGAGAGGGGACGGAGAGACAGACGGACTCGGCCCAGTGGCCGACATTCCCACTGTGCATCCCTGCCTCTATTTTCCTTTGTTTCCTTTCCTCCCCTTAGACTTGTTTTGTTGTTAACAAACCATCACAACAACACAAGTAAATTCCATTAACACTCATTTTCAAGGTTTTCACTTGTTTGCAGTAACTTTATGGTGAGGTTTTCTCTTCCACGCTTAGGGGACGGGATGTTTTAAGTGTAGATTTAGCGCTGACACATTGAGCAGAAAGCCCCGCTGCCTCTACAAGTGCCATATGGTTCCCAAAAAGCACATTTACATTATTTACCAACTTCTCGGTCTTGTAAGAGACACAAACAATAAAATCAAAATAGAGGTAAAACAAATTCCCTTTCAACTGTTATGAGAAGTGTTTTCATCTTTGTGAATGTTTTTTGGGGGATGTTATTGATTTTTATGTATTACACTCCCTTGTGGTTCAGCTTGACTGTAACAAAACAACAAGCTGACACAAATGGCTCTTCTATCCAGCAGACTGCCATTAGCGATGTGGAGAAACACACAAAACTCCCAAAACAGGGAGATCCTGTGCGGTCGCTCTTTCATGTTAAAGTACAAAGTGTTGAATTTCTTAGTAATCCACAGGAAATCAAAAGAGACTTTATTTCTTCTCTTTTTAGCAGCTTAAATAATTTATCCTGAAATGCATTGTTTTTTCCACTCAGAATTAGTTGTTGCTGAAGTGCGCCTCGCATTTACGTTACTTCGTCTTGGCGAAGGGCATTTGAAGCTTTGCTTAATTGGTTGTTTTGTGCCCCTTTGTCTTTGCCTTTTGTGAACAATGGTTTACTGGGTATGTAAATCGAATTCTGGAGAGTGATACCGTCGTTCCTGTGGCAAAGAGTTGTCAGCACGCAATTACCTGTTGGCACATCGCTGTACACTGCAGCACTGAGTGGCTCCTCGGGGAGAAAGCTGCGACTGGCTGAGGACATTTGGCTGTGCTTGTGTTTTATGGCTTTTTACAATAACTGTGAAAGTCCGGGAACAGCAGTTGCACCAATAACTGCCCTGCTGGGGCA